TTTCTATGCTAAAGTTCTCATTCAGCCCTAGGATACAAAATGGTAACCTGTTAATTTTAAATTGGATTATTCTCCTTATACATTATGGTGTACATAAGGGTGTCCATTATGGACACCCTTATGTACACCATAATGTACATGTAGCAGAGCCCTTTCATTTATAGTAACTTAAGATTCATGTATATGAAGATTCATTGAGTCTAGATTAATGTGAATGTTAATTAATTGAGAATTAATAGCAAGAAATTCATACATGACAAAGATTTTGCAGTTTTTGTTACATATTGAAAAATGATAAGTAATGTATTACTAAAATGATTGAATTGTAGTAAGGTTAAAATTGTTTAAAAAATGATTCTCACTTGATATGATATTTAATATATTATAAATTCGTTGAAACACTCTTGTTTCAATGCACAATGAATGATTTTATTGAATCACCTCGTCTAAAATCTTAAGCTCCCGAGTAGCAGAATTTATATTTCTGGTCTTCAATGTTACTCGGATTCGTTTGCATTTACTGTTACTTATCTTCAACAAATTCATATGTCCAAAAGCCGAAATCTATTTTGGGAAGCAGGTCTATAAGATCAATTAATGCACTCGGAATTTGTTTGATCATCCAGGCAAATCAGAAAACCTGTAAACTTTTCCTCAAAATGCGAATCTTCAAAGAATCATTTCCAGAGTTAGATCGACTTGTTATGCCAGTTCAATAATCAAGGTTTTAAGGCTCTTGAAATGCCATTTCTTGAATTCAAATGCAGGCTAGATACAAGTTGAGGACAAGACTGGAAAGGGCATTGATGTCAGTTCATGGGACAAGGAATTAATCGAAGACCTCCTGGTACAGGAATTAGCAGTCCTATATCCTATTCAAGTCCGAGTCAACCTTCTATATACACTTTGGACGCTTAGAGTATCCATTCACACCGCTGGCTAATATAACCATTTCCCAGCTTGAAACTCGTCCAATCTATTAAAAAGTGCAGTTCTAACTGAGACTAGGTAGCTGATCTCATCCACTTCCAAATACAAACAA